ATACTGAGAGTTAAGCTGAGCTTAAGCCAAATGCACAGGGTACAGATCCCACCTTGCGCCTTCCACGCTGCTGGCCTGAACCGGGCTGCGAAAACACGTGGGCTCTGCCTCCTGAGCCCAGACCCCAGCATCATGATACAGACCCAAACTGACCCAATTTTTTAGTTTTGCTAATCAAATCTTCATATACAACTCATGTTTTACACATTTCCTATCAGAATTTTAATTCATGATTACTTATTGTCAACTGAGCTGTTTTAAACCAGAACGGTAAGTCAGTTTTCTTTAATCTTTGCTCTTTTGCACTGATCTTCAAAAGACTAAAGTACAGCATGAAATAGACTTTACAGCATCTGCTTTAGGAGATGAAGGCAAGTGATAAATCACTTGCCTGGGAGGAGATAACGTTATTAATCAGTGTGGCTGGGGGGTGCAATGTTTTGAAGTTGCACTGGGTATTAAATAACAGGTGAAAGGAAAGAGACCTTTGCTTTTTTAAAACTTAAATCTAAGCTTGTTCTGTAAAATGAAGCTGCCACCCTATTAGTTGCACAAACCATTTTTCATGCAGAAACTAGTGTAAATTGTGGCCTTCAAATCAAAACCAGGACATGAAGACAGCTTTGCTTTTTTTTTTTAAAAAAAAAAAAGAAGTCTTTTAATAATAAAAAAATGGAATTTGGTCTTTTATGCAATTTGTGAAAGATTATTTGAAGGGGAAGAGCTGAATGCAACTCTGCCATTCTCTGAAACTCATGCCCAGTGGCACTTGCTGGTTAAATGCTCATTTTACTTTATATTCTTACATTCTCCTGTTCAGTTTAATTTGTTTCCCAGGGAAGCACCCCAGCACCCACACAGTTCCACACTGCAGTCGTTCATCACTAAGGCAGACAGGTCCCAGACTCAGGGCACTTACTGATGGCCCCACAAGGGGTTCGACCTGCAGAGCTCCTGAGCAGGAAAACTACAACTGAAGCAAGAGTTTGCATGTGTAAGATGCATGATTTATTTGTGAGCACACACTCAAGACAGAATGAACTCTGTCTTGCCCCTGCCACCCAGGGCCTCTGTCAAAAGCTTTTAATTTTGCTTTGTAGCACAACCTTTAGAACACAGGTAGGAGCCAGGTTTGAATTTCAGGGTAAGTGCTACAGCTTTTCGGAGAGAGGAGTTATGTTGGAGCCTGGGGAGGGAGCTTGCATTTCAACACAGACTTTCCCTTGTATTTTACTGTATGTTAAAACCTGGGCCGCATGGAAGACAGCAACCTTTGGAAGAGGACATCAGTAGTGCACGCAAAGCAAATCTCTACTGGGACTAGAAAAAGGGGGTCTTTAGACAGCTGAATCAGCTCTGCTGTAACAACTGTGGTTCAGACTAAGGTCCCTTTGCATGGAGGTGGAACCAGCTGCTTCCCATAAGCAGACTAGAAGAGCATGGGAACACGGATCCGACACCGCATCCCGCAACTATTCCTGCGGCTGGGCTGGTCCATGGTGCATGGGTTGTATTCTACCTGCAGGCCAGTTACAAGAGGAGTGTCACAGGGGTCCATAGGCACTTTAAAAGGACAAATGCAAAGTCTTGCACCAGAGGAGGAGGAACTCCATGCAATGTAGTGGGCTGGGGACCATCTGGGTGGAGAGCTGCTGTGCCCTGGGATCATGCTGCAAAGTCCCAACAGGACTTGAGGCTGTATAAGCAGAAAAACAGCCTGCACATAAAAGAAGTGACCATCTCCCCATACCGAACACTTCTGTGAGCACATCTAGACACCGTGACCAGTTTTGGTCTCCCTGAGACAACACATGCAATGTTAAATGGAGGTGTGATCAGAAAAGAAACCACCAAGATGGTCACGAAAGGCTGGGAGAAGAGAGCTGGTCCAGCCTGGGAAAGGTGAGGCTTTGGGGAGACCTAACAGCAGCCCCCAGGTCCTCCAAAGAGGTTATCAGGGAGACACAGCGAGGCTCCTCAGCAGCAGGAGGGCAGGAGAGAGCGGAAGGAGAGGCACAGACTGGAAAGGAGGAATCTTTTTTCCCCCACAATGACGACAGTCAAGCAGTGTAATAGATGCCTGGAGAGACTGTACAGTCTCCACTTTGGAGAAAATTCAGGGGGTTCTAAGGCCCAACCAGATAAAGCTCTGAGCAACCTCATCTGAGCTCGCTGCTGCCCTGCCTTTGAGCAGGAGCCTGGACTGCAGACCTCTCGTGGCCCCTCACCAACTTGGGCTATCCTGTGAGCCCGAATGAAGGAAGTTCCCAGCTACCACCAATCCACAGGGAATGCCCCTACTGTAGCACCCTCACCCCAGGAGTCAGCAGGAGAACATGAAGTTGAGCTGGGCTGCAATGAGAAAGAAAATCCGAAGCATTCAGTGGTTTCCTCCTCTCTTTTTTCCCCCCACTATCCATCAGCAACGAGTTACAGACTGCACACATTCCAGGATGAGCAGTCCCTGAATGAGAAAAACAAACAAATAAACATGAAAAAGATCTATTTTGACATCTTTATCCTTTCCTGTGGACAATATTATCCTCCTCACAACATATAACAGTAAATTTTAATCTAGAATTTTCTACCAGAAAACAGGACTCTGACTATACCCTTTCAAGATTATTCCAGCGTTTATACAATTTCACTGTCTAGCAACTTCCCAAAATACGGGCTGCTTGCTTCTGTTCTCAGTGTCATCCTAATGCAGTGCAATTGGGATTTGTCTCCATCCTATTCACACTGCTCAGAGAAACGGAGCACTTAGGGCATGTAGGCAATTAGATCATGGACTTTTAATGTTTCCTCAAATCCACTCTAACATCCTTTTTTGGATGCTTCGAGTTTGTGTTTCTTGTCATAATATCAAGCTGGATCTCCATTCCCAGGGAGGCACTGACTGCAGAAAAGCAGCTGCAGTCTGGTCGAATGTCTCTGCATACAAAACCCCCAAACTGCGTGTTTTCTTCTCAAGGTTACAGTGACAAGAACTACAGGATGTCTCGCCTGCCCTCTCTTCACCAGCCTGATCCCAAGTCTCTGACGTCAGTGGAAATAGTCCCATTTACTTGGAGGGCCTTGGATTTAGTCCCAAGTCTTAAAGAATAAAAGCAAGGAAAAATGAGACATTAGCTTCAAATGAAGTCGCTTGGAATTCCTGCCTTGAAGTGGGAAGAGAACAACTGTGAGAGTAGGCGGGATGGATTTTTAAATTAAAAAAAAAAAAAAAAGACAAGAAAAGAGTGTTTTAAATTTCTAAATGAAAAAAATGCTTTGGAAAATAGTCTGAGAAAATGTTTTACATTATTTACGCAGTCAGGGGAACATTCTACTCATTCAATGGAAAAAAACAAAAACCTGAATGTCACAGTATTTGCTTTGATGTTCTCTTCACAGACTGGAGTTTATTGCACCTTTGTGCAACACGCAACTTCTCAGCCTGCCTTCCAGTTAAAGAAAAACTAAACAGCATCATGTAAGTAAAATTGGTCCATTTGGATATTTCACAAATAGGAAGTGACAGGACACTGCAAAGCGTGGCTTTATTCTCATGGGCTGAAATGCAGCTCCTGACTCAATGCAACAGTTGTGCATAACTGAGCTACCTGAATGCTCCATGGGGGCAGTAAGAGGCTCTATGGGGGTCACGGTGCATGAACACACTCCAACAAGCCCCATGCAGCATGTAGGCAACCACAGAAAAGCCCCATTCCATGTGTTACCCCAACACTGTGTTCCTTGGCTGCTCTCCAGCTGGGTGCTTTCCTGTTAGTTAACTCACAGCCAGAAAGTTGCATGCTTAGAATTCACAGGTACAGTCCTCCAGGGCACAGGAGGTCTTATAACCACCCCACAGCACCCTCATAACCAAATGACTATTCTCAGGTCTGCTGGATCATGGAATCCACAGTTTTTTTCAGGATCAAGTTGTGGTTCATTTGCTCCGTGACTAACTTTTCTAAAATCAAAACAAATGTCCTAAAACCGACGTCGAGGGAAGGCCCTTTCCCCCTTTCCCCAGATGTTTCACTAATAGTGAAACATAGTCTAACACAGTTACACTATGACTAAGTGATAGGAAAAAGCTCCTTTTTCTGCTTTAATCTTCAAAATGGTTCAATTGGGAATGCTGAACCAAAAGAAAGTACTAAAGAACAGAAAGAAACGAAGTGAAGAGCACATCTTGCATTCCGTAACAACAAACTTAGGCTGCACGGCTTGCTCTGCAAATCCTACAGCAGCACTTCTCCTTAGCTCAGCCTGCCTAGCTCTTAAAAAACAACAACATGCAGAATGTGCTTCAGGCAGTGAAGGATATTAGCATTGTAATTCATGCCAGGATGTCCTCGGAGGGAAAAAGCTGTCTTGAAAGCTACCTAAGCCTTTGGGTCAGAAACTTCCTCAAATGTGTTTTGGCAACAACTGAGACATGAAGATTTCTGATGATTTTACAGTTCCCTGAAAAGAAATTGGGCAACTTAAAAAAAAAAATCGTATTGCTGCCAATTTCAAAACAGGATGTTTTTGTTATTGATGACTGTAATAGGGATTAATGACCTTGCAAATGTAAACAACCCTCCATTACCGCTTCTTGTCTAATTATTGCTGCAATTTTTCCCCTCTTCACAAACGATGCTGTATGAATAGTTTAGCACTCATCGTCAGGCAACGAGCAGACCAACCACAGAAATGGCAATATCACCAGCTGGCTGAGCCAACGTCACCAGATAGTTGAAAGAAAAATGCAAAGGAGGAAAATATTTAGAATGTGGCTAGTGCTTTAAAGTCAAGCTGTCTGTTTTCAGCACATAGGAAAAAAAAAAAAACAAGGGAGAAAGGACACCCCCTAGAAGAAGATACACTGCAGGTATATCTGATAATGAACCACAGCCAGGAGATAACCTTGTAAAGTGCCTCTACCCCAAAACAGAAAGAAGGAAAGCTCTGCAGTTTCCCAGCAGTTCACCTTGCAGTTAGAAACGCGCAGCCTGAAACCTCACCTTCTGATGCCCAAATTCACTCATTATCGTGCCCAGCTTCTTGGTGTTGCTGTGAAGCTTATGGGCAGCAATGGCCGGGTTGGGATCCCTCCAGTCGACGGAGAGGCGGTGATGCCAGAGGCGCGGGCCCTCCTGCACGTGCGCTGCCTTGATGCTGGGGTCGAAGCGGTGCACCTCGCAGCCCCCGTGCGCCAGGCTCGCCTCCAGCTGGCTGTCCTCGCTGCCCAGCCTGCAAAACAAAACAAACAAACAAACAAACGAGAACTCCTGGAGCTGCACAAAGTGCGGTAGGAGAAGCCGACTATCCCGAGGACTCACGGGGACAAGAGGGGGCAATTCGACCCGCTCGCTTGGGAAGCAAAGCGGAGGAATGCTGGGCTGCTTTTGAAACCATGCTATACTAGGATACACCATTAAGCCAGTGCTAAATGATTKCCATGGAGACATGCTGCTAAAGTAAAACAAATCTGCATGCTGAAAAAAAAAGAAGGTTTAGAAAAACATACAGTTTGGAAGCTAGGACAGTGCTATATTGTATCACCTATGAGAATAGCTTCCACTCAACAGCTTTCCTCTTCAGGCATCTTGGGAAAGGAAAAGGACACGGGGTATGCAAAAACAACGTGCCTACAAGAATGAATTCATTTCACAGGATTTCGGCCTGTGAAGTTGCACAGGATGAAAAGAGAGTGGTTTTTCTTTTCCTACACTCAGTGTGTACTAGGAAAGAAGTTCAGAAGCTAACGAAGTGAATGGAAACGTTTGCTTACATTTGCCATTCTATAGATGGGACACAGATGAATGAAGAGCAATACAATCCCTTTGGAATGGGAAGCTGGCTAAAAATGAACAAAATGCGGATTGTTTGGAACAATTAAGGCATTAGAGAGTGACATGTGGATACGTGCATGTGTGATTCCCTCTTAGCAGCTCTGGCCGATTTGTTCCAGAGGGCCAGGTGCTTTTGGCACAAACAAAACTCCCGCTGCCTGCAAGCAGATTTGTGCCCAAATCTGGCTGCAAAGAGACGCTCACAGTGGTGCAGAACAGGAAAGGATCCTTGAGGACAAGGAAGGTGCCGGTGTATCTGCTGCCTCCCTGGCCTACAGCTCACATTTACAATGGAAGAGAGAGTTAATCAACAACAGGTATCAATGAGAGAAAATAACATTCAAAAGCCCTGCAGGCCCATGTGTGACCATGCTAAGTGCTACACAGCATGAAAAACAAAAAAAAAAGTGAACAAATTTCTTCCCCGAGAAAGATTTTGCACTGCTTTAGAAGGACTGTGGTCTTAGCAGAAGCACGTTGAGGTCAGCAGAGACTAGGAAGGCCCTTCCCCACCAGTGGGGGAAAACAGCGGCTGTCCAGTAAGTGAAACACGAAGCAAGCAGGATGCTGACCTGTTTTTACGGCCGAGAAGATGCCCGACCGTGGCCACGCAGTGAAGAGCAGCGATGAGACGACGTGCAGCGAGGGGCCCTGCTGCCAGGCAAGGGCCCAGGACACAGGGCAGCAGTGCAGGGTGCCCCGTCCCTGGGCTCTCCTCTGCTCGTGGCATGAGCTGAGCTGACCCGGGCATTGCGTCTGCCGAGCCCAGGCAGTTCCATCTCCATGTGAGCAGGAACTTCTTCCCTGTGAGGGTGCCAGAGCCCTGGCACAGGCTGCCCAGGGAGGCTGTGGAGTCTCCTTCTCTGGAGATCTTCCCAACCCGCCTGGATGCCGCCCTGTGCCCCGCGCTCTGGGTGTCCCTGCTGGAGCAGGGGGTTGGACTGGATGGTCTCTAGAGGTCCCTGCCAACCTCAACCCTCCTGTGACTCGGTCTGTGAAGGTGCCCACTGCGTGGGGGCAGCTGCTGGACAGAGGGGCAGAACCGCCGGCACCCTGGAGCTGCTCGCTCTGTCTTGTGGTGTCTCTGCTTCCCTCCTGAAGGAAGGTAACGGAGCTCTGCAGCTGGGCAAAGGAAGCCTTCCCTGCCTGGACCCTAGGTCCTCCCAGAAGGTCTCTTATACACTCTTGCAGCAAACACTTAAAACCCCAGCCGCCAAGTTCCTGAAATCCTATTCATTTATATTATCCCAGCTTGGGCGCCTGCCCGTTGTGTTTGTTACAGACTTAGTTTAATCCGAGCAGATTTAGCCGTAATAACTGGAGCTCACTACAGCATGTTGCAAGTACGTGTCACGCTGGGAAGTCCTGTCCCCCCAGCAAAAACACCGCTCCCGCGCAGCAGGGGAAGCAACTAAAACTCATCTAAAAAACCCTCCAGAAAGCAGCAGTTTCAGGCACTGCTCACTCCCACTCCCTCGTGAGCTCTTCTGCAGCCCTCACGAAGGCAGAGCACAAGCGGTAGGTCTTGCTCAATTTTTAATGATGCATGGATTGAATTCAGGGTCCGCAGTGGCACTCGCGCTGAACTTTCACATTTGTCCTCCCTCCATCCTCCCCATGGAGGATGTTCCTCCCTGAAAGCAGCTGCTCTCCCTTTGCTCTTTATGAAGGGCACAGGATAACAGGAACATTTAAAGGGGATTTTTGTCTTAGTCGGAACAAAATTACTTTTCTGCCTGCTGTAAACTAAAGGAAGTCAGTCTGACAGAAGAATGAAGCAGTAATGAGCTCCAAAGGCAGCAAAAGGCATCTGAAGTCTTTAGAGGCTACTCTTCCTTAACCCCAAATATGTCTTTTCATTTTTTTTTTTTTTAGCTGTTTCATGAGCCACATCATTCCTGGATATTTAATGCACATGTGTGCGTGATCAGTGACTTTCCCATCAATTTCAATCTCTGCCAAGAACAGAAAATCTGGCATTTGGGCTCCCTGTACCATATGAAAAACAGCAGCACACACGAAGTACTGATGTGGTGTACAGTGACCAGCTGTGAGCAGCTCAAAAAGCATAAGCAAGTTACCTTTGTGTCACCAGCCGTGTGCCAGATCTGCCCTAGCACAGCTGACAGAAGCTCTGCGTTGTGTCTTCTTCAACAGAAATACATTTCCCACCCTACCTGGCCTATATCAAAGGGATAGAGGGACAAGAACACTGCAGTGCGGGTCTAATATTAATCATTGTGAACCTTGCAGGGTATGATCTAGATTTACTCCATCAAACCTTAGGCATTCTATGCTTCTATGAAATTTGTGTACTTCTCCAAGACACTTCAAGTCAGCAGCCACAACACCCTGGGCTCCCTCTGGAATCAAAGGAAGCCAGAGGTACCTCCAAGGAGGTTATTGAGCTTTGTGRAATTCCCACCCGAATGTGCCTTCCTCTCTCCACTGACTACTGGAAGGGGGATCAAGCCATGAACCAGAACTACAGGTGAGCAGCCAAAGTCTGGCCCTAAGGGTGGGTTCACACAGCATCATGTCTAAAAGGCAACTGTTTTTCTGCCACTGAGCAACACAGCGGAGTGGTATCTGAGGGCCTCTTGCTCTCTCAGGAGTTTGGTGTTTAGAGCTCAGTGGTCTCTTACACCACTTAATCCAAACCCCACTCAAGTTAACAGAAAATACTCTTTGCTGTAGTAGGCTCTGAATCCTCCTTATGTCAACTGCTGATGTTGACTGCTGTGTCCTGATCACTGAGAAATGGCACCCAGGCACAGCTCAGAAGCAAAATCACAGAATTAAACGGTGCTGGTTCACGGGTGATGGTGCCTTTCAATGCATCTCTAACCCGAAGCTGGCTCCCAGGAAAACATGCACCAAGTTGTAGCTGGAGGCAGTCACTCAGTGATCTGTGTGAAATGAGGTCCAGATCGCAGTGATCATTCTCATAGTCAGACCATGGTTTGAGGAACTCTGAATATTGAACCTTGTCCTCTCAAGACAGAGTATATTTTTAGCAGGAAAACAAGCTACACTTGTAGGTTAACTGTTGTGCTCCACGAAAAGTGAAGATCAAGTGTTACAAATATCATACACGCTATAAACATCTTAAAATAAAAGCAGGCTGCCTTTATTATCACTTTGGCACMTGTCAACCCTGAAGCGCTCAGCAAAAACACTCTCCTACAGAGATGCACGACTTTGCTAATGAAGCTTTATAAATAATGCTGCTGAAGGACCCAGCAATTAGGCAAGACCCTTCTGCTCAGGGAAGATGCTGCATGCTCCTCAGTTTTTCTCATTAATTTCCATCTTCCTCTATCACAGCCACCACTCACTAATAAGCAATTTGCTTCCGTGCTGATTCTACTGAAATGAAGAAAAATGAGCACCCTTATGGAGAAAGATTTTTCCCTAAAAACACAGCCTATTTAGCACACCTAGCAAAGTCCACATTTTTAAARCACATTAGTGGAGTCAGTTTTGCATTTATAAGGCTTTTTGAGGCCAATATATATCCTGGAATGATTTACTGTGTGCTAAAGGAGCACTTACCCGAGCGAATAGAGGCGACACTGCCTGCTCCTGATGCGATGAACGAGGCTGAACCGCTCGTCGAGGCAGAGCGGCCAGGGCTTCTTCGCCGTTCCCGCGCGCCCCGCCGCGCTGTTCAGCTTCAGGTGCTCGCAGGAAACCTGCCGAAATCAGGAGGCTACATTTGAAYAGGCCACGACTTTAATTTGTTTTTAATTTCTCTTCTGGGGATAGAGTTGAAAGGAGAAAAATGTTAACTGGYTTAATTAAAATTTGATTGGCAAATCTGCAGCTATGGAGATTTGTTTTTTTCCCTCCTGTTTGTGTGTTCTGCTTGGTGAAATTTAAGGTTTACAAAATCCCCCAGAGAGCAACACGGTTTGAATAGCAAGTAATTAAACATTAGTACTATACCCTGAAATCAATTTTCCTGAGAACAAGCCATTTTAGCATAAATATGTATTTCTTTTCCTTGCAAACCRTGGACTGGATTCTGCATTCTGCCTCGTGTCAAAATAAAATCTCATGACTCACCATTTATTTAAAAGACAGTGTCACTGTGATACACAAMACTCTGTATTACACCCCCAGTGCCTCAGAAGAGATTTAATGATGACCTAAATACATCCCCTAACCAATAACAAAGGGATTAAGTGCTTAGCTAAACAGAGGAATCACTGCAAGTGTTTCAATGCTGCCTTAGATATCATGAGCCAGACAGCAAAGAACAAGAAGGCAACTAGCAAGAAGTGCTGAATTCATCGGGAACCTGGATGTGTTTTACACAGTAGAGCGTCCAAATTATCTGACTGTAAGGCCAAGCCAGTTTTTCCAACCAAGCAAACCTGGACATCAACTTCAGGGTTGCAGGGCTTGGGCTGCTAAGCTGCAAACATGAAAGCAAATTCTGCAAAGAATGACAGGCACCCCACCGCACCTTTGCGAGGAAAAGCTGCTCTCCGAACCTGGCACTAGCTGCGATCCCAGAAACTGCCAGGGACAGGAGCTGGCACTGCCAGAAAGCTAAAAACAGGAGGGAAAAACAACAGCAGGGCTAAAACCAGGTTAAATACCAAGCCTCAGCTGACTACTCTCACACGTTCCTTCTCAGGCTCAGTTCTCTGTTTCAGCCAAACCAAAAAGCACAGATCTTTTGATCTTTCTGAATATTTTTTTTTCAGAAATTTCCACTTCTGCACAATTATGCTACAGGGGGTGAGAATGAAAACTGGCATCCAGCCTTTGCTGTGGTAGGCACTGTTCACATGCCTTGTTATAAGTAAATAAAACTCATTTTTAAAGAGGCTTAAGCTCTGAAAGATCATTATCCAGGGCACTACATTCCCTGAGCTGCCTGCTGCACAACCTCCCTGCCCCTGCTTAGCTCATAATTCCCAGGGAAAAATTCATAAAAGCTTATACAGCATCTCTTCACGCTGCTCTCCAAATTCACTAAGCTTTAAGCAATGACTTGCACYGCATCCCACTGCCTATTTCCCTTCTGTCTATAACTACCAAGGAATAAATGGCTTTGCAACAACAAGTGCTAATTTTAAGGCAGATTTTATGCTTCTGCTTTCTGCAGAAAAATAAAAGATTCTGCTATCCTACTGCTTACTTTTCCCACAGTATTTTTAGCCATTACAACACTCAGAATTTGTACCAATGTCACCAGCTCTTGCTACTAAAACCATAACCTAAAACTATAACCATAAATCAGAAGACCTGAACTCTACCTTTGGCACCACCGCCGATCTGTTGTGGGACATGCAGAGCATAAGGGCCTGGGCTGCTCTTCTACACACTGCTCTTGTGCAGGTAACAGTAAACTTTAACACTTCTTCTGATCAGTGTCTATAAATACCCCAAGGGAGGCAGYGAGGAGGAGGGGGYGGCCTCYTTTCAGTGGTGGCCAGCGACAGGACTAGAGGAAACGGCCACAAACTGAAACATCAAAAGTTCTGCAGAAACTTAAGGAAAAATTTCTTGACAGTGCCAGAGCCCTGGAACAGGCTGCCCAGGGAGGACACCCATGCTCTGCGTATCCCTGCTGGAGCAGGGGTTGGACTGGATGGTCTCCAGAGGTCCCTGCCAACCTTAAACATTTTATGATTCCATGATTCCGATTACTAGGCACTGGTGTTGGAAGAGCCTTGGTTCACTCCTCAGTGGCCTAACAAGRTGACACCCTCCCCTTCCACCCATGTGTTGTGGGTGTTGCTGAACCCAAGCAGCTGAGYACAGGCACAGCCATCAGCTGCCACCGGCTCTGCACACTCAGGAAAGGAGATCCCACGCTCACCTGTGTGAGCAGGATCCCATTTCCTTTGACGTTCCTATCACTCACAGTGTTATCCTAGCAACTGTTAATCATGTAACATCTGCCAGGTTAGGGACAAGGGCTTCTTTTTTTTTTTTTTAATCTTTTTAAATTTTGTTTTCACTTATGCCTGTCTCCAGGGTCAGCTACTCTGGGAACGAAACTTCCTGATTCGTATGTCTGGAGCAATAAAWTCTCTGTTAATTGATGTCCTTGGAGGTTTTGACCCAACTAATGGAGTTTAGCAGAACCTGCCACTGTTTATTAAGTCGCCGAGATGAAGGCTGTTTTCAGCTTTATGCCCCTACCCCAGTCTAAACCTCTCTGCTAGAAAACGTGTTACTGTTCATTACTTATGTTAATGACATTTTAGAGACATGAACACCTGAAGCACTTTGCTATTCTCTTCTGTAAAAGATGTAAAAGTACAGCACACCTAAAAGATGGTGCACACTAGAGCAAGTGTGAGCTTGCTCATAGATTTAAACACTTAAAAGTACCTGCCTTGTCAGAACTAAGGACATCTCACATCTTTTTCATTCTTTATTACACAAAATATAAGTATAAACACAATTGCGGAAAAGTATGTCTTAATATAGACATCACTAAGACATGATAACCTGATTTCTGTATATTTGTGCCATGGAAGCATCTGTGAATGTAAGGTGGATGTGGAGGTAACACCTTTGAAAAAAGCACTTGAAAATACAAGTTTCAGATCATCACCACCTTTTTTTTTGTTGTTGTTGTTCTCAGAAAATCAGAATTCTTCTAGCACTATCGGGAAAACTTGCCCAGGCTTGGGACTGATGCCTTTTTCTCATTTCTCTGTGAACTTCAAATGCATCCTTTTTAAGCTAGAATGAACCTAGTTATCACATTATTACTGAGGTTGAGTGACAGAATACACAGCCCTTTTGCTACACAGTGGTCAGTACTCTTCGGAATCTGAGAGACAGAGAGAGAGAAAATGGGAGAGGAACAATTCCTGGAATTTCAGCTGCACTGCACTTCTGTCAGGGCACAAACCCCTCTGTAAATAGAAAGCAGGAAAATAATGCATTGTTTCTAGCTGGTGTTCTGATTTTACATTCACGTTTTTTAGGTTGTGTGGTGGAAAGGCAGCCTGCCCACATGGAGAAGAGCAGGGAGGAACCACAGGTGGAAGAACACAAATAACACCATGTGCAGGCTGCTGCCAGGCTCCTCAGAGAGCCATGAAGCCCTAGAGGCTCCACAGCACCATGCCAAGGAGCACAGAGGCACAACACCAGGCAGGGAACCCTAAAAGCTCTGTCTGAGAAAGGCAGCCCCTGTCCCCATCCCAGGAAAGCCAAGAGCCTCCTCGTCCAGCTATGAAAACCATTGAAATGAGTCATCAGGACACACTCTCCACAGCACCTTTAGGAGAACCACTCTACCTTCTTCTTAACTTTCTGACTCCTAACTCAAGGTAGGATGAAGCCTATTCTATCTATAAGATAGAATGAAGCTCCAGGAGAACTATTCTCCTGGAGGCTCTCTACTCTGTGTGCATGTAARGTGGGCTGTGGGACTCGTATTTCCAAGCGCCAGCAAGTGGGAAGAGGGGGTGGTCCCGGGGCAGCTGCTGAGCAGCCCTCAGCCCGGCTACCGGAGGGATCCATGGACATTTCCCATGAATGGACCTTCCTCCTGATCAGCCAGAGAGGGGAAGTGGGGAGGCTGTGTTTGTGTCCGTGTTTATCTGAGTGGCCAGCTGTGCATATAGGTGGGGTGTACGTGTGTGTGGGGGGGTGTCCTGGGAACACATGCTCACTACTAGCTGGACACGGGGAAGCTCCCCTTGGATCGGCTACCGGATTCAGCCTCTCCCTAACAACACCGATCATCACTGCTGAGCTGAGTAACTTTAGAAATAAAACATATCCCAAGCAATCCCAACGGCATGAGGTCGGGTCCTTGCCTGAGAGGCAAGAGGCTGTGTCAGGCAGATTATTTTCTAAACAGAGTCAGAAACGAGAACCTACCTGAGTGGTGCTTATGTACTTCAGGAACCTCAAGGCCTCATAGTGCAGGGAAGGAGTTGGGCTTGCCCATGGTTGTAGGTCAATGTGCCATCTTATCATCTGTAGAGGAGGTGGGTAGGGGTAAAAGAAAAAAAAAAATCAGTTAATGGAATATCATTCATTTTTCTGTACAAACTTAAAAATGCAAGGGCTAAAAAAAAAAACAGCACAAGGACATTTCATTTTAGGCAAAGTTTTCTAAAGGCTTGTTTACACATGAAAGTCGCTGCAGAATAAAGCAGGGATTGAATTACAGTGAAAGAGCATCTTACTGTGGTTTATCTTGATCAACTTTGAAAGTAGATGTACTTAATTCGGAAAAAAACCCCACAGAAATACTGATCCTCAGCATTATTCTAAGACACCCAGGCGAGCGCTGATTTGTGTAAATACCATGAAGAAAAACTAAACCTCAATGTTCAAATTCTCCAGCAGAGATCTGAACACATAAGATAATTTTATATCTGTTGCACAATGTGCTTGAGGACCCAGCGAAACAAGACACCAAGACCCAGCAATGTAAACAGCGATCAACCACCAAAGGAAACCTCGGCAAACTGTCTCTTTCTCTCTTTTAAAGCACAGCTTGTTGGCTTCTTCCATTTGTTTACCAGCTGATATACCAGACACTTTGGTATCACAATTCTTTGGGTTTTTTGGAAAAAGTGCCAGTGTGGCTGCCTCTGGTCCTGCGGCTCCCCATTTTTCTAACCAAGGGAGCAGCTTGGTGGGTGTTTTCCGTGCTGCCGGTGAGGCCCATCATGAACCTCGGGATGCTGCCAGGGTTTGGAGCCACCCTTCCCACACACACACACACACACACGCAGTGGGACAGCGCAGGTCCCGGAGCCGGGCGCTGGCAGAGCAGCAGGGCTCCGCGCTCCCATCCGCGCCGCGTTCCCGGCTCACCTCGCCTCGGGAAGGAGGAACATGTTATCGCCTGCCCTCGAGCAGGTGTAAATACAGGCACGGTGTGAAGCTGCTCCGACTCGAGGCTGCTTTCTCCTGGCCCTTCAGGTCTCATAACCCATCTCTGCRGCTGGGCAGGTAGGAGCAAGCTTCCCCTTCGCCCCTACGTTTCCATAAAGAACACCTTTAACRTCTTTATTATTTTGGGGAAGATCATTTCAACTTCTAATAAACAAAAAGAAAAACCCATCTGGGATCCCCAGAGGGCTTCATTTTACTRAAAAACTCTGGAAAACATAGAGGAAAAACATCAGCAAGGGCGAGCTGAAGCCGAGGCCCAGCGGGGAGGCGCTGGGGCCGCAGCCGGGACGGCCCCGCGTCTCCAGGCCGGAGGCAGCGGGGAGCGCCGCTCTCTTGGGAAGAGGCCGTGGTGCTGGGACACRGGGATCCTCGGATGGCGGACGGGAACGCAGGAAAGACGGAAGGAAAAAGCAGAGCTGAAAAGCAAGGGTTAGGAAAWGTACCCGTGCGCAAAGCGCTGCCCTAAGCGAGGGGAGCGGGGGCGGCCACGGGGCACCGCTCGGACCGAGGGGGCAGATGCCACAATTAACGTGCCCAGAAATCCCATGAACCAGGTCCTGTTTTCCCCCAGTTAAGGGTAGAGCATCAGAGCACAACATGAGGCTTATTTTCAGGTTCTTAAAATTTTACAGGTGACAGACTGCTTTGCCACTGGCAACCTGCAGRAATCTACCAATACTCCCGCAAGAAAGACGACAAAAAGCCCAGTGACTTAATAACCCAGTTGCACTCAAAAAAAAAGAGCAACTTTTCACATAGTCCTTTAAATTCAGGMGGCCTACGCAAATGTTATGTAGGTAACAGGGATAACAGGGATCAGAAAGGAGCTSCTCATTAAGGGCAATGCTTTTGCAAAGCCTCCCGCAAATTATAATAAAAAATGTAATAAAATGAATGAGAGATGTCTGTTGCTAACACCTCATGAGCCACCCAGGACAGCTGAAATGCAGAAATATTGCCCCAATATCACGCAGAAGCAGCCAGAAGGACACCCTGGGTTTCCTGCATGTGGGGCCACCTCTGTCCCCACTGTCCCCTCACGCTAAGGGCTCAGCCAGSGAGCGCCCACGACTGCATTTCCACAAACGCCCGTGGATCCTGATCCCATGACGTGAAGAGAGCACGACTGCAACACTGGAAGTCCACTTTAAAATGTCCCCTTGGAAAAACTCCGTGCTCCCGTGTTTCCACTGTTTCACTTGCAGAGGCTGCTTGTAAGATAAACCTTTCTTCAAAAATGCTTTAAAGCAGGCCCTGATCAAACACTGACCTCAGAAACCCTAGAAGAAAGTCAGAAAAACCAGAAGATATGGTATCCATAATGAAATCCAAATCTTCACTAGATGAGATAAGCACAGAGCAAAGAAAATCTGAAAGCAATGCCCTTGTTTTCTTAAGAAAACCGAGATTCATCTGAGAGTCTGATTTTTTTTCCAGATATTTCACACATACAGACTGATTTTTCTCTCAGACCAGTCTGACAGTAATCCTCAGTGACTTTCCCCTGGAGACCACTTATTTCTAGATTTTCTCCCTCACCAGCCATCTGTAATAATCATGTGATAATCATCTGATAATCCCTTCATAATTTGTAGCATACACGTGGTATAATTTCTTCTTCTAAAAATTTGGAAATATATGCAAAGGGCTCCATGAACAAGACTGTACGTTTGCAAAGTTTCTGCCTCCCTTAGCAAACTTGAACAGAAAAATGCAAATTATGAAATTATTTCCAAAACAAATAAGCAGTTTGAAATGTGACAGCCCAAATCAGTAAGGAATCTGCTTCTCCCTTTTTTTTTCCTTTTTTTTTTTTTTTTTTTGCTATTTCAGTTTTAGGGAATTAGTAAGTTTTTCACGTTGTAATTTTCTCTTATTTATTTTTCCCCTCCTTTGTATCTCCTTCCTTTTTGGCAACCCTTTAAAACACAGGACAGCATTAGCCACATTGAGAACCCCGACAATTTGGGGCTCCCACTGCCCTGCTTGCACTGTCCACTGCTCCCCGAGAAGAAAGGAGGGATTCGTCACTTCACAGTCAGACATCTCAGTCATGGGAAAACACAAACCTGCTGCCTAAACTGCACGGCCGTAACTTCTTACACTTGAGAGGGGACCAAATACGAACGCAGAGCGTCTGTGGTAATAAACTCCATCAGGAGCTATAAATATTTGCTAGCCATAGAAACAAGTGACAGGCACCTCGTTGTTTCCAGCCGTTCTGGCTTGCTCTGGATACCCCCAYGTCCATCCCTTTCGGAGGGCGCAGCCGAGCAGACTCTGCCTCTGGGTGAGACGTGGGGGTCTCGGAAGGGAGCGGTGGCCAAACCAGGGATATTCGGACTCATGCCCAGCACTCGGAGCAGTCCTTGGAGCAACTCGCCCCTCCTCAGGCAGCAAACTTGCTCTCAGAGGGAACGAGTTGGCTGATGCCAAAGGGGAGTCCGGGCGAGGGCACCAGACTAAGTTATTTGGCAGGACGGACGCACGGAGCAGCCTCTTAAAGGGCATGATTCATCTCACTGCAGCACAGATGTCTAAAATAAGTGAGATGAATCATCGCCTGGAAATGTCCCTTTCCCTCCACGAAGGGCAAGGGGAGCCTGGAGAGCTAGCTTGGCTGCACCCACAGTGCAGGCATTCAATGCAAAGGAGGAGGAATCCCAGACCCCATTCTCATGCATGCCACACTGAAACATACTCCTGCCTTGCTTCTCCAAGCAGTTGTGAGCCTCAATTAATGCTCAGCTGCACTTTATCCCTCCTCTTCATTATTCCTCACACATAATCCTTCATGTTTCCCATCTGGAGCAGTGATGCCTGGCACAAGCCTCCAACTCCAGCGCAAAGCGGAGGCGTCAGTCACTGAGCGGAGGCATTTCCCAGCCCTTGCTTTGCTTCTAGCACTGCTAGTCCTTATATGCAGCTTGGCTTTCTTAAACGTGCCAGCTTTCCCCTCGAGGAGCAACGCTGCAGCAATTGTAACGTGCATCCCTGCTCTGCGCATCCAAAGGGATCATTCCAACACCATACAGGGGCTGAGGGGCTCAGGCAGCAGCACAAGCAGACCCCAGAGGGGATCCCTCCTCCAGAAGGGCTATAGGGCTATAAAGACATGGTGTTATCACTATAAAGACACAGTGTTATCATACAATTTCATCTCAGAGTGAACTGCTGCAGAGTAAGAGTCATGTGCATGCCAAGCAAGCGGTGCAGTAGATGCCATCAAGCTCTCTTGAGCAGCCCAACACTTCAGCAGGTTAAATCTTGCCCACGGAAACATTTATTTTCCTGGAGAGGGAACCCCTAGGACGCACTCAGCTCTGCGCCAGCCCCTTCTTGTCCTGCTCTTCCCTCCCAAACTCTGCAGTGCAGCAAACATCTGTCTGGGGCCAGACAGGACTGCTGCTACAGGCAGCTTATTCAGCTCAGAGTGTCGCCCGGGGGGCTCTGCTTTAGAGCAGTTTATCAGCATTTGCTTCCCAAGACTGCAGCCTGCACTGCAGGCAAAGCTCAGGTTAGTGGGGGGGGGGGGAAGAAAAACGGCAACACTTCTTAAATGTGAAGTTTTATGCTGAAATGTTTAGGGAAAAAAAAAAAAAAAAAAGAACACTATGCAGACGTGGTGATGTGCCCAAACTGGGTGCACTAAATGTGAGCTACAGCCTGTGCTTGGGCTCTCTCAAACTCTAACTCTGTGTGTTTTCCCCAAACAAGTGTCTCATACAAAAAGTCCACGTGGAAAAGAAGGGATGCTTGGCACTCGTTGCAGTGACACAATTTATACCGCCCTCGGAATGAAGTCACGGCTTCAGGAAAAGCAAAGAGCCCTCTACAAAACCAACACAGCAGGGCCAGAGGCTTTCAGGTGACTAATGTTCTGCTGATTTCATATGAAAGCCCAACTTCCGTAGGAAATGCACCCTGGGGAACCAGCTTACTGGGCTTAACTGGTTGTTGGAGACACCCCGTCTGTGAACACCCCAGCGGGTCCAGGCTCCAGTCGGTGCTGCAGAGCAGGGGGATGCAGGTCACGGCTCACAAAAAGCACGTGCCCCAGAGCACTTGCC